CCACCAAAATCCTGATTTTTCAGGACTGGCAATGGCCCTGGGTGTGGTGTCTGTCTGTTTCTCTCTCTCTCTCTCTCTCTTTCTGAACACGCATGCGCATGCACACACGTGCATAAAATTATTATGATTCTGAGGTGTAGCTCCAGTAACGTTCCTCCCAGTGTGAAGTGATAGGAATTACACAGTATCACCTACCTACAAAGGATTTTCACTAAAAAAGTTTAAGCTGAATCCAAGCTAGCCTTTAGATTTAACTTCCAGTTTCTATGAAACAGGATAGAGAACATGTGTAAATGACATCATGAGGAAATAGACAAATCCAGATTGTTGGTACTCTGTAAGACAAGTGGCCGAGTATCTCCAAATAGTCCGTGTCGGGGAAAAAATGGGGTCAGGGTGGAACAGGTTAGGGTGGAAAGCCTATTCTTGACTAAAAGAAACTAACCAAATGCAATTCATGAGTCTTCACTGAGTCATGGTTTTAAGAAAATAGCTATTAAAAATGGGGTGGGGGTAGGGAAATTTGAGTGTGGACTAAGCTTTGGCTATAAGGGGATTATTGTCAGTTTTCTTGGGTGTATTAATTGTATTGTGGCTATGTAGGAAATGTTCTTATTTTTACGAGGTGTATGCTAAAGTATTTAGGGGTGAAGTGTCAAGACATCTGCAACTCATTTTCAGATGGTTCAGAAAAAATATTGTGGGCTAGTGTCAGGGTGTATTCTGTTGATCAATGGAACAAATACGTGAAAATGCTAACAATTGTTGAATCTGGGTGTTCCTTGTCTATTCCTGTCACCTTATATCTGTGCTTGAGCACTTTCATAATGCAGGTGAAAAGCAGAACCAGGGTGAGTAATGAGTAAGCAAGGCAGTGCTCTTCCTAACATTTGTCCTGCCCTCCTCCCTTGCTGTTCTCGTCCTGGTGGAGAGCATGGGCTTGGCGTCCTTCCAGTTTCCCTCCCTTGCCAGCTAGGTGTGAACTTTGCTCCTGGGTTTCTGTTCCGGTAATCTAGCCAACAGGCACTGGGCGGTTCTGGCCTCTCTCCCCTCCTAACAGGAAGCTGTGCAAGATAGAGCCACAGGACCTGAGTAACAGACCTCAGCTAGGCTCTGCACCTTTACCCTTCCTCAGAGATCGGCTTTGGGAAGAATACCGAAACCGACTCCCACAGACCAGTCATGTATAACCTCCTCCTCCCTCTGTTCTGACTACGGTATTATTTATAGGTTCTGTGGGATTCTCTCTTGTCTTTTTTTTTTTTTTNTTGGCGTCCTTCCAGTTTCCCTCCCTTGCCAGCTAGGTGTGAACTTTGCTCCTGGGTTTCTGTTCCGGTAATCTAGCCAACAGGCACTGGGCGGTTCTGGCCTCTCTCCCCTCCTAACAGGAAGCTGTGCAAGATAGAGCCACAGGACCTGAGTAACAGACCTCAGCTAGGCTCTGCACCTTTACCCTTCCTCAGAGATCGGCTTTGGGAAGAATACCGAAACCGACTCCCACAGACCAGTCATGTATAACCTCCTCCTCCCTCTGTTCTGACTACGGTATTATTTATAGGTTCTGTGGGATTCTCTCTTGTCTTTTTTTTTTTTTTCTTTTACTAAGAGGCTTTACTTTGTGGACCTTCAGGACAATCATAGCTTCACTTTCTGAAAGGCAGAGGGTTGGCCAGATCATCCGCAATCATCAGAGAAGTGATTACAGTGAAGTCAGGTGTTCTAGAGGAGCAATGCACTTAGTGGCCCATGGAGGAAGACTTTTACGTGGAATGGCAATGAGGGCCTGGTTTTATGAAGTAAGCCTTGTAGAAGCAGGGATTACGGTTAACAGCAGTGGACGCCTGAGCTCAGGGGTGCTGTGCCCGGGATCCCTGTGCTTAACAAAGATGCGTGAGGAGGATCTGTTTCCCCTTTGACACTGATGTTGTCTCAGCAGATGCCTGCCATTCTGTGTTCATGGCCAAACTGGGACATTTCACAGAACACAGACCACCAGGTCTGAGGACTTTGCTTGGATCCCCCAGGAAGCCACAGTTTTAGTCAGTCAGCCTTGGATATTGTGGCTGTTTCTCTGGTAGTACCAGTTAGCAAACTTGCTAGCAAGACCAAAGCGTCTTATCTCCTTGTTGAAATCAGAAGAATGAAGGCTTCGTCCCAGCCATTCTGGTGTGGACATGAGAGTTTAGTGCAGTGGATGGGGGATTGTTGTAACGCAAAGAGAGAGGGAATTATATTATTTGAACTAAAGCACATGGGTTCTTAAATTTTACATGGAGCATTTTCCTAAGCCTGGACATTTCGTCTTCTTTTCTCCTGAGGTTTCACAGCCTTTCTCTTCAGAAGTTGCAACTTAATTGCATTTCTGACTCTGAGCAGAGCTTGCTGGCCAGGATAGTGAACACTGGCATAGTCACTAAGATATAAGTCGCCTGAGAGGTTGTAGCAGAGTCCTGTAGTTCTCCAAGAAGACAAATGTGTATATTCCACATTACAAAATTACCATTAAACAGAAGAGGGACAGGGGTAGAGATGGGCTGGGCATAACAGTAAATTAGGTTTCTAATCAAATGGGAAGGCTTTGTGGAAGCCTCAATTTCTCTTAACAGGGTGAGCTTTCCACCTTTTGGTTCAAAGTATGTGTGAGCATGGTGGGTGGGGACAACCTCTCAGGGCCTCCAGGAGTCATTGTTTTCTTGTTTTCATTCAGTGCGATCATTTTCATTATAAACAATCACCTCTGAAGTTCTTTTGTATTGATACCTTTTTTCTCAAAATGCTTTTCTATTTGGTAATATTTGGAGGGGGGATGAGTGAGTGAGTAGGAGTAGGTTATACATCGGGCTTGATGCTAATTTATTTTCACCAGCAGAGTTTGGCATCTGAGTGTTAGGCAGTGGGGAAACAGGAGCAAGACCAGGACCCTGCCCGTGCGGCCCACCTGGGAGACTTAGACATGAGTGACCTCATCTCTCAGTAACCTGTGCTTAATCCTGTTCTGAATGCAGTGGCCAGGTTTCTGTTGTCTACTGAACACCTCCCTCAGTTCAGTCATTGTCTGGCCAGTGTCATCTGTGTTAGGGGAAGAGCTTCTGAGGGAAAAGAGTTGATATTCATTGAATACTTACTATACCAGGCACTCTGCTGGGTGCTTAACACGTTCCTGTTTGTTCCTGTGAGGCAGGGGCAGACCCTTACTGTCTCCATGTCTGTGGGAGATGCAGAAGCTGTGGCTCTGAGAAGTTAGACGTCCACAGGGCCAGTTGGGGGTGCAGCTGCCTTTGGAACCCGGACCTGACAGACTCCACAACGCCGTCAGAGGCGCACACCCCCTCTCCCTCACGCAGTGCTCAGCACAGCATCATTACACACACACTCGTGCCCTGACAGTTAAGTGCAGAAGTTCCTAGTGTTGCCATAGCTTTGTCCCCACGATAACATCTTGGATAACTACAGTGATGTGAGGATTTTAAATACAGCATGTCTTATGAGACGAGTCGTCACTGCTCACTGGGATGTCAGCCAGCAGGCGGACAGCGGGCGTGTGGTGGAGAAACAGGCATTTTACGCTTTGACACTGGGCTTCCTTATTTCCCCACTTTCCTCCCTTTTTGATAACTGCCTGCCTAACCGCACTCCCAACATGCCAGGGGGCTCTTGTAGTTCTCATGGAGTTGACATGACCTCGGTTAATAAGATCTAATCATTCAGAGCAGGGCCATGTGCCCAGATGTCTGATGTGAGCAGCATGATTCTTCCTGACCTTGGAGAGGGGACAGAAAATGGGGCTGCAGATGAGCACTCCCAGCCCCTGCTTCAGGGTTCAGGCTCCTCTGAAGGAGGTTGGAGCCTCTGGAGCAAAGTCCTCTGGTAATGAAGTCATTTGTCCTTGGGAACAGAATGCGTCCTCTGTGTAATCAGAAACAATGGGCATGTTGAGTTCCAGACCTGGGGTGAGTTGAAGCTTAGGCAGAGGCACATGTGATGAATTGGGACAATTCAAGGGATGCATTTTTCATAGACAAGTTTCTGTTGTCAACAAGTGGACTCCAGTTGTAATGATACTTAGTCAACAGTCATTAATGCCTCTGTTTTGAATAATTCCCCCAGGCAAGTCATGAACTCTTCTTTGAGGGTTTTTTTTCCCCCCCTTTCAGTTTTAATTAGTGTAAATTATTTTGTCTAAAAAAATCACCCTGCAAAAGATGGATGAAAAATAGGCTTGGGTGGCAATGATTTATTTATTCTTTTTCATGGGATTATTTTCTTTTACATTCTCATGAAATAGATACTCACTCTTATGTCTCTGCTTGTAATTTGTTTTCCAGGCAATAAAAGTAGGGCGTTGCTGCTCTCCGCTGTTAGGCAAAAGCTGTTAGTGCAAGATTTTAAGAACTTAGCTTATCTAGTACCAAAACAGCAGCCAGAGCCCTCAAACTTTATAAAAAACGTGGTCAGTCTGTTGACACAGTTCACAGGCAGTCGGCCCTAGATCTGTCCGGTTCCCTGTGCTGTCTGACTTTTCTCAGTAAGAGGTGAGGGAGCAGGAGCCAAGCAGCTGGGACAGTGTCCCCTGTGTCGGTCTCCTTCCTTGTGCCACTCTGTCTAGAGACAGGGTTCACCACCACAGTGTGTGGTCGGGGAGAACTGGAAACGGAGCAGCCCAGCAGATAAACCGAGAATGGCCCGGCCTGCGGCTGGGGACGCGCTCTGTGGGGTGGGTCTGTGGGGCCCGGGGTGGGTCTGTGGGGCCCGGGCCGGGGTGGCTGCGTGGGCCGGGCAGGGCGGGCGTGTGAGCTGAGGGGAGCAGCCCCGGTCGGAGGACCTGGAAGTTTCTGAGCCGCGCCGCCCGCGGGGCGGGGCCTGGAGAGCTCTGCTAACCGCCTCCTCTCTTTCCCCTAGGTGAGCCGGCCGCCAGTCGCGCTGGGCTTGGCCGGAGGACGGCATGTGTCCCTCAGCCTGAATGCCGCCCGCCCCGGACTCTGCTGCGGCTTCGGGAGTGAATGCCTGCAGCAGCCACTTCCTTCCTGGGCCTCAGCCTCCTTCCCGGCTCTCTTTTCTGATTAACCCCGAGGACTCCTGACTCTTTCTCCGCTTTGAGCATCAATATGTGTCATGTCATCGTCACCTGTCGCTCAATGCTCTGGACCCTCCTGAGTATCGTGGTGGCTTTTGCAGAGCTCATTGCTTTCATGAGCGCAGACTGGCTGATCGGGAAAGCCAAGAGCCACGGTGGCGCCGAGGCGGCGGGCGGGGACCCCGCGGAGCCCTACCACCCCACTTTGGGCATCTATGCCCGCTGCATCCGCAACCCTGGGCTGCAGCACCTCCAGCGTGACACGCTGTGCGGGCCCTACGCGGAGAGCTTCGGCGAGATCGCCAGTGGCTTCTGGCAGGCCACTGCGATTTTCCTGACCGTGGGCATCTTCATTCTTTGCATGGTGGCCTTGGTGTCCGTCTTCACCATGTGCGTGCAGAGCATCATGAAGAAAAGCATTTTCAACGTCTGTGGGTTATTGCAAGGAATCGCAGGTGAGTGCAGTGGGCGGAGGAAGGAGCCTGGGCTGGGCGGGGTGGAGACCTGCGCGCAGCGCAGCGCTCGCTGAGTCTCTCCTTCCAGTTCTGCAGAAGACCTTGTGTCTAGTCAGCTTTCCCTCGCTAGGTTCTGTTGCAGACAGCGCGTGTGCTGCACGCCTCGTCCCTTTCTCCTGGTTCACTCCTATCCAGCAGGAAGACAGGGTCTCGTTCTTCTCTGGTCTCGCATGGCTGTCCCCATTGTTTACTTCCTCAGGGGCCAAGTTGTTGGTTTTGGTTTGAGTAACTACTAATTTCTGTTTTTCCTGTTAAATTGAAAGCATACTCTGCCTCAGTGCATCTCCCTGAGGAATTAAGGGGAGCGCGGGTCCCACCTGCAGCAGGTGCTCTGTGCTGAGGGCACGTGCGGATGATCATTAAGCGGCAGCCCGCCTGGACCTGCGCTCCCTGTCAGCACCACCCGGCCCCACAAGATTTCAGCTTCGGACTGGGGAAGACGAGGGCTGGGAAGGAATTAGTATCAGCTGTTCTGTGTTTAATAATGTTCCGGTTTAAATTGTCTGTCTCCTGGAGCCTGACAGAATGTTCTGTGCGCTCGAGATCAGAAAAAGCAAGCTAACTTCCGCTTTCTGAGAACTTCTCACTAAGGAACTTGTTAGAAATGGGTGGAAAGAAAAGTATGAGCTCTTTACAGTGATCCCAGACAGAAGGCTGCGAGTTGCAGGAAAAACAAACACTGCCAGGAGTACTTTCCTAGGCTTCCCCAGTGGGTTTGAAAGGTGGGCTCTGAATCAAGAGGGTAGCAGTCTGTCTGGGCAGCAGAAATTTACACACACACACACACACACACACACACACACACACACACACAGAAAAAGCAAGCTAACTTCCGCTTTCTGAGAACTTCTCACTAAGGAACTTGTTAGAAATGGGTGGAAAGAAAAGTATGAGCTCTTTACAGTGATCCCAGACAGAAGGCTGCGAGTTGCAGGAAAAACAAACACTGCCAGGAGTACTTTCCTAGGCTTCCCCAGTGGGTTTGAAAGGTGGGCTCTGAATCAAGAGGGTAGCAGTCTGTCTGGGCAGCAGAAATTTACACACACACACACACACACACACACACACACACACACACACGCTGAGTTTGAAGACATACCCAAGGAAGTAGAGAAATAGACTTTTGCTTTGATTTTAAGAAAAAAAGAACTCACTTTTTAACCAAGATATGTATTAATCTCAACTCTAACAGGAGAAACAGTAAGCCACCTACAACCCCAAATGCACAGGTGATTTATCTCTCAGCAAATTCTAAGGCTGTGTGCACAGGACTCTTCAACAATGAAGATAAGCATTGAGCCTGTGTCCAGGGCTGTAAAGAAACAGACCTAAAATGAATTAACTCTAGTCTGCCTCATAGCAAACTCTTGAGCCCAGCAGAACTGGCTTCCAAATAAACAGATCAAATGACAGTTTTTCCCCCCAAACAGCTGATAAGATAAAGTTTTCTATTTCTCAGATCTTAGGAGGCCCCTGTGTGTTTTGTTTGGAGGGCAGGTAGGTGGGTGGGACAGGGATGTAATGGGTCAGGAAACAGGACAGAGGACCATCCACAGTTCTGATTTACTTGCTTGGGGAGTGTACTCCATTCAGATACCAGGGCCCTTAGATTTTTCTGGCCTGGAGTGTCAAATCTCAGTACCCCCATCTGTTTATCTGCCAGGATGAGCCATACCATGAATGACCTAGGCACTCACAGAATTTGGGAGACCAGGATTCTGTTTTTTATCTTTACTGCTAACTAGCAGTTTGACTTGAGATGAACATACCACCTTTCTGGATCTCAGCATTCCTTTTCTGAAATGTAGGGAGTTTGGAAGATATGACTTCACCTTAGATTTTTTTATCTTAGAGTTTTGATTCTGTGAAGCACATTGTCCCCTTTTGATTCACTTCTGAAATCTGAAGTCTATCCCCTTCAGCCTGGCATTTCACCACCCAGAAATGTTAAATAAGATGGGTTGCAATACTGGCTCGTCATTTTCTTTCTTTTTTTTTTTTTTTTCCTTTTTGTCTTTTTTCGTGACCGGTAACAGGATCGCAACCCTCAGTGTCGCGCCCGTACCGCTACCGGCAATAGGATCGCAACCCTTGGTGTCGTGCCCGCACCACGCTCAACCAGTGAGCAGACCGGTCTCTATATGGGATCCGAACCCTGGGCGGGAGCACCGCTGCGCTCCCAAGCATTGCCCTCTACCGAGTGCGCCACCAGGCCGGCCCCTGACTCGTCATTTTCTCATCAGAGAAGTGCCCCTACTCTTTTCTCCTGACACACAGTGCCTCAGGTGTGTGTGCGTATATGCCTGTGTAGATCTTAAAACTTTGTGGGGAAGTGTAACCAAAGGCTTTTGAAAAGTCAAAATAAACATGTATGTAAAAGGGAAAGCAGCACACACAATTTATTAATCCTGTTGAAGGCCTTGGTTGACCAGGGAGGAGAATTTCTGTTTGATTTTCCTCACTATGTTCTATTTACACATCCTCAATTATTTCGTGCCATTATTACAGCTTTTATAAATATGCTGGTATGCAGGTGAGACTCCTGGTTTGTCATCCATAGGAATGCTTTTCATCTTGAGAAACTTGGTGATAGTCTAACTGCCTTCTAGCAAACCATCTAGTGGCCATTTTCAGCAAGGGGTGGGACATCTTGGGCCATAACCCCAAACCTATCTTCTAAGAAGCAAAGTGTAGGTATCCTTCAATCCTGAAGACTGTTTCCATATACCTTTTAATAAGGTGTTAGTCCAGTGAATTACATCTCTAAGAATGCTTATTAGTCCAGCAAATCTTTGATGCTCTTGTGTGCTACTGCACGTAAATGGCAAGAGTGTTCATTTTTGCACAGGGATCACTACATGGTTTAGCTATTCTTCATATACTCCAGTGAGGGTTTTTTTAACTTTTCTCTGTCCTTATCTCTCTGCATAAGGCCTCTGGGAAGAAGGGAGGAGGAGAAAGACTAAGGTGTACACCTTAGGGGCTAGTCTGCCGGTCATCTGTCTCTTCCAAAAGTCTGAGTTTTCTAAAAGAAATTGTAACTTTCTAATTCTGTTACTTATGCAGCATCTCAAAAATTCTGAAATTACTCAAAATTTTAAACTGGCAAGAGGCAGAAGCTCCTGTATAGTCAGACTACTCTCTAAGGGGCCATTGATCTAAGGCTAAGCACAAAAATACAGGAAGGAACAGTACCCCTCAGAGAAGAAATCATGAGAAGTATGGACTAAGCCATCCTTCTTGTGTTGGGGGCCACAGCTGCTCCGTGGGATCTTTCTCCCCTAACAAGGTCTACACCAGGCAGCTCAAGCCACTGTAAACGGCAACCGTGGTCCTTGAATCTGGGCTGACAAAGTTGCCACACCAGTGTCTGAAGCAGCTGACTTGCTTTCTTTCCTGTCGGCCCATCTGTAAGAGCATCTGGTCAGCCCCAACCTCAGCCAAGGACTTGCTGCAGCTGTGAGCATCAGTCTTTTCTCTCCCCACACCCCTCCGTCTCAACTCTTGGATCTATTCGACATTGAAACAAATGGTGAGAAAAGAGACTTGCTGGAGCAACAAAAGCATTCCTTAGAAATACACTTGGACTGTGTTTGTTCTTACAAATTGAATTTTGGCAAAAATGACATTTTTGTAAAATGTGACGGGATGAAAAATTACAAGTTTTTGTAAGCGTATTTCTTTGCTACATCTAATTTTAAAGAACAAATACAAGCTTGTTGTCTATAAAAAAAAACACAACATAAACCATCAAAATCTTGATACTTTGATTTTAGAAGTTGGGTGTGAATCTGATAACTCAGTGTAAATCCCACACTTTGGTTAACATAACACAATAATAGTAAAATACAACTATTGATTATTAAGTTAACCTAGACAGCAGAACTTGCCTCCAAGGCCTAGCCTAATGGTGAGCTCCAAGCTGGCACTTCCTAAATACTTGTACAGAAATGCCCTTGGTGTTCAACACTCACTCTTGGCAGTGATTAGAGTTCAATCCTCACCCTAAAGTGGCTGTGAAACATTGACCAGTTTGCCTGCCTCACTTCACTAAGCCTCAGTTTTCTCACTCACAAAATGGGTATGATAATAGTCCATACCTCAAGGTGGTTCTGAGGATTAAATTAGATAATATATGAAAAAGGCCTAAGCACAGTGCTTGGAGCACAGTGAATAAATAGTACATGGTAGCTATATGATAATTGTTAAAGTATTTCTGCTTTTGTGGCAAGTTTGAATATATTCTTTGTGTTTCCTAGAAGTGCTGCATTTTAAGGAATAGAGATATCTTTTGTAGTCTCTAGAACTGACCCGTTGTGTTCAAATCAAACATGAGTATATTGTATAGCGCCATTTCCTGGCCCCTTAATAACCTGCCTGTTGTCAGGGCTGCAGGGTGCAGAGCAGTCCTGTGACTTTGGTGTGACTAGGGGTGTCCTCAAATCATTTTTTTTTTTTTTAAAGCCAAAGATGGGACAAATCATTTTTTTTTTTTTAAAGCCAAAGATAGCAATCGAATTGACAGGAAAATAAGACATCCTTCTTCCCACTCCCCTTCCCCCTGACATGCATCCTCCATTCCTTTCCTTTCTGGAGGCAGATTCTCGCAGTTGAGTCTTGATTGCAGGTGGCTTCTCAGACTCCCCTGGAAGGATAAAGTACAGGCTGATTGGTTTTCAGTACGTGAGGCCTTACCTAAGACTTGGCAGAGCCAGAAACACACAGAGATTCATATCCCTGTGCGATTCCTTATAAAAGCTGGGTAATCAGCCAGCAGGGTTTTTTTGTTTGTTTTGTGGGGTTTTTTGCCAGCTGTCTTCCTTAGGTTGTGACCTGGATGTAATCCATAGTGAAATCGTAGAATGCAAAGATCCAGGTTTTCCATGACAGCATCAAGCAGTTTGTTTTTAGAAATGCATGTTCTCTTAGAAGTCTGTGGA